AGCGGTTGCTCCAGTTACTCGACCCATGGAGCCTTGCATCAAGCATTCTAATGTCTCTTGAGCGTTTGTTACATCTTTTTCAGTTATTCCGACAAGTTTTATGTTTTTTCCATCTTCTCTAATCTCTACAACCGATTGCTTTCTTTCTTTAGTGGATAAAAGATCGTACAATTGTTCCTGGTACAACTCTATGAATGATGCTGTGACTGTAAAGGTCCACTCTTCCTTCTTGACTTCAATTGTCTCAAATATATCGTCTATAATTCTCGGTATAACACCTTTCTCTTCTTCTCCCATATAATTAGTACCCATTGAATGGGTTTTCCCACTTCCAGTTTGTCCATATGCCAATATTGTAACATTGTAGCCTAAGAAAGAATTAATATATAAAAACATATATCCACTAAATGATATTGAATCGTAAACCAATAAATTCCGAGTCCGTACAACTGCATATTTACCAAAATAATTGTTTACTGATCTAATACACAACTTATTTGTAAAACAACAATTTGTACTTAAAATAATATTTACCTTGAAAAGTACTATCTATCAATCGTTTAACTGCTATATTGTACAATTCTTCCTGACCGACATCCGGAGAAAAAACATAATTATATGTGAATGCTTTGTCTGTATTACTAATTCGAACTTGTGGCTCTCCAGGAATCACATCTAAGCAGTTTTGACAGTTGTTTTCAATCTCACTCTGTAATAAAGGTCGTATTCGAAGAGCAACACAAACAGTATCATCTGACATCTGTAATTAGAAAATATTTATTAATGAAACATAGAAAATTGTTTAGAAAAACAGCACATAAAAAAGTTTTTACATCCAGCAATAAAGAATAGACATTTTGGTTTGAATAAAAAATTAAATTTTAATTTTGGACTGTTACGTATTACAAGTTTAAAAAACTGATCAAATTGCATAATAATATCGTCTCATCTCGTGTCTGATCTTGTGAGAAACCTTAGCAAGAAAATATTTTTGTTCTACTTACTTTTGTTAAAACGTGTATTAGGCCTTGTTTATACGGGCAATAACTATTAACTTATGCCGGAACTTGTAAAATTCAACTATAGGATTTCAATGCTTCTGTTTATACGAAATTGCTGAATGCGTATAAACAGAAGTATTAAAATCTTACAGGTGACCTTACCGGTACCGGTATAAGTCAACAATTATTGCTCGCATAAACAAGGCCTTACTTAGTTCTCGGTAAGTATGTTCAGGTATTTTAATTGTCTAATATTTAATTTATTTAATTTACCTTTTATTAACAGCCAATGCAATTTAATGTTGCAATAACTCAGTGGGCATAGACGAGAGACCCATATGCCAGTTTATTAACAGCCAAAACTGTTTAGTTCAATGTGAAAACGACAAAGTGAGAACAGCGGACTATCCGTTAGTATACCATGGTGTATAAGTATACTTACACCATGCGTTAGTACACCAAAAACAAGGCGGGACAAACTCAAACTCACTCTTGAAAAAAGTGGGGACAGTTTTCAGCGCCGTCAGGATCACATTCTTTGCAAACTAAAAATAGTAGTGGGGATACCGGTACGCGTACGTAGATAAAATGAATTATAAGTTCTGAGAGTAATTAGTAAATTTTTTAAACCGTTATTTCTATTATATAAAGTTACATTAAAAAATAATTATACAAAAAAATGTTTTTATTTAATACATAAATAAAAAGCATTTTATATAAATTATTTTTCTGTAATTCTATATAACAGAAATCCTTACATACAATAACAACTTAAAATGTACACATACATTCACACAATATACATTTACAAATGTTTTTTAAATATAAAAACATCCGCACTATATGTATACACTGCATTATATATCATCACACTTGCTTATCTTACTCTTGCTCTTGCTTTAGCCAGCACAGCAGCCAGCACTCAAGAAATTTAGCATACTTAAAACTACTTAATTTTTATAAAAGTAATTTATTAACATTTTTGATTGGAGCATTGTTTGATCATAGAACAAATTAAAAATCTTTCATATATTTATTTTATTTTGAAGCAGAAACTCGAGATATAATTTACATTGCTTACTATCATTTTATAAAATAATTATATTAACTATCTATTTTTTATAAAAAGTAAATCAAGTGAATAAAATTTCTATATACACCATTTCATGATAAAAGGCATTACAAAGCTATATATAAATATAGAATAATATGGATAAAAAATTATGTATAGAGATACCAATTTCCAACTTTTTCTTTTTCTAAGTAGACGTTTCTTTTTCTAATTGGACATCAGTTTTTATATCTGAGAACAGTTGCGTAGATACCTGCAAATAAATAATACATAACATAAGAAAATGTGTACATATATTATTTTTACAAACACACAAACGCGCACACACACTCGTTATAGCATAGAATATAGTACAACAATTACATATAACTTACGTTCTCTTTATCTTTGTTCTGACATAGCTCTGGATTGCAATTACAATCTGTACACATGACATCATGTTTACGACACATGCATATTTTTGTAATACACTTTGTTTTACAAGTACATTTAATTTTGTCGAGTTCTAGGCTTCTACTGTAAGTCAATCGTTTGACCGAAAACTTTGATTTATGCTAAACAAAAAGCAAAAAAAAATCGCAAAATTATTGTTACAAATACTTTTATTTGGATTAGGTTTTTCTTCCCTAAACATCATCTCCGAGCATTATTACCTGTGTTTTTCGTAAACGATTGTAAATCGGTGTTTTTGTCCAATCTGGATCGTTATCAACATCGTCTTCTATCGTCAAACTGTCATCATGTATTAATACTTCGTCAAATTCAACGTGATTTTCTTTTCTACTTCTTTTTTTAGATAATGATGATTTCTTATTTCCTTTATCCGAGTTATTTTCTGTCAAAACCTAAAAAAATACAAATTATATACACAAACTGATTTCATATTGACAAAATGTGTGAAATACCTTTCTTTTTTATATTTTTTTTCGACAAAACATTATTTAATATAACAATCTTTATTTGACCCACTGGTCTCGCGTACTAAGTGCGAGGGTACCGTTCTACAAACAGAAAAATCCCGAGTTCGAACCACACCTACGAATTTTTCCAGTCGAATGTATCGATTAGAATGCGAACTAAACCGGGCCTTCGGTGATGCGGAACCCTCATCTCAAATCTTGTGGGTCCATCACACTCACCAAGGATTCAAGTTTGAAGGTTGGACGCTACGCTAACAACCTTGCCCCGTAAAACTTGTATTGCGAAATAAACTACGTTTGGACTAATCATCCGACTAGCTGAAGTTTGTCGCAAGCAACAAAGGCAAAGAAATTGTGTTGTAACCCTATGTTTCTGAAGAGAAACGCGAATAAAGAAAAGAAAAATATATTTATTTACTTACTTGTCCATTCATTTCCACCTTCCGCTTGTATTCTTCTAACTGGACTTCTAAATTCTGGCACTTTTTTTTAAATAGAAGTTTTAAGAGAAATTATTTGAATTTTAATATAATTATATACAATATGTATTAACATACAAAAACTTATTTACCATAACTATCTCTATATACTCACTTTCTCAATCAATTCCTTCTCCCGTTTACTAGTTTCATCTAATTGTATTTCCATATTTTGATATTTTTCCTTAAATATAAGTTTTCAAAGTAGTTTTACATCTTAATACTTTTACACTTTAATACCTGTATATATAAAATATATATACTAACTTTAAATCCTTCATTTCTATACCGTTGTTCCTTCTTGTCTTCTACAAATATGTGACATGCCGTTTCGAGTGCCACCTTAGCGTCCGTTGTTGTGCGTACTATCATATTCCATTTGTTATTCGCTTTATTCTCTAAGAAATTTATTTTTTAATTAAAGTCACATTTTTCCATTTACATGCTTTAAATAATCTCATATACATCTTACCTTGCTCTGACTCGAGAATTTTTTGTTGTAGATCTGTAATTTGTGTATTACGCAATTTCACAAATTCACTCAGACTACACAGTTCTTCTTCGTTTGGATCACTAGACCGTTTCAACTGTTCTAACTGACTCACTAAAGATGCTCTATCTTGCTTCAATTTTTCAAGAGAATAGTGCGCATCTGCAATGGCCATCAGTACTTCTATTTCTCGAGCCATCCATACTTTTATTTCATCCTTGCCATTGGCCTTTTTCTCCTGACGTTCAATCGCTCTTTTCTGCATTTCCAACGCACTCTGCGAAGAAGTTGTTCCAAATAACAGCCATACACAAGAAAAACACTAAGAAACCACAAGATACATCTTCTTGACTACATAAAAACACATACCTTTAATCTTTTGTTAGCAGCAAATGCCTCTTCCATTTTTCTTTTAAAAACGTTCTCCTGTTTATTATGCGCTATTTTCATGCGCACCATTTCAGTGGCTCGTTTACGATCTTGAGACTTTAATCTGTTTATTTCCTTCTCTTTAGATTGCTTCCACTTGGTAAAATTGTTTGCGTCTATGCGCATTTGTCTAATAAGTTTTACTCTTGTTTCTTTTAGCGATTGTATTTCACTGGACAGTGTCTTGATTTTAAAATCCTGTTTTTCTTTCGCTTTCATTATTTTTGTCGTTTCCACATGCTTGCGTGTTAATTCTGCTATTGTTTTTTCACATTCTTGTAGTTTTTTACGACGCATCTCAGCCAATCTGTAAAAAACAAGAATGTTGATTGGTAAAAACTATAAATGATCTAATTACTTATACGACAATTAAAAGCCTATAGTTTAATCTCTACGGATGCTGATCTGTAATATAGCTTACTTGGAGCTGACGTTCTGTGANTGTATTACGTGTAAATGTTCTTCTTTTTCGGCATTTAGCCGTTTAATTTCTTGTTCTAGTTCCATAATTTTTAATGTATGACTTTCTGCGGTTAGTTGTGTNGCATTTTTTATAAGTTCCGTCACGAGACTTTCCTTTAGCGCTAATTGTTTGTTAATGTTGTGAACCTCGTTATTCCGTTCCGTCTGGCGCAACGTGTGTTCCTCTTCCTTTTTGTCAAAATAATCCAAACTATTTTCGTTATTACTTACTTCTTCCGTATTCTCACATATTTCTAACATATTTACACTATTTTTCGAATTAGATATTTCATGATGTATGAGNTCTTCGCATGTTTTTCTTGCATCATTCTGAATATCTGAAAACAATAAGCACGTGTTTTTTTTCCAGAGAGAAAATACCATACGTTTTATTTGTGCAAACATTTGAGATCTATTACTCACCTAACAATATTTCGTATATCGGTTTTAACTTATTACACATTTCTTCGCTGACCTCAGAGTGGATCNAACTAAATTCCTGTAAGACCTGTTTAAATTTATCTACCAGCAATGCTATGGACGATTTCATTTTTTCCCAAGCATGTTCACCTATTTCGGATCTTTCATGCATGATAACAGTTTCCACCAGATTCGAGTTCAACGTTTCCGTTATATCTCGNAGCTTCTGTTGCAACATATTACATTTCTCTTCAAGTTCTTTGTGTTCTTTCGGACACGTTAGACCAAATCCATCTTGAGTCACAAGACCAGACCGCAATTCTTGCACTAACTTGTTCAAACGATTGATCTCGGCTACTTTCGGATCTTGGTTCACTATCGGCTTGTTCTTTATTTTGCGCGCGCGATCCGCATANCTCAATGTACTAAGTGTCTCATCCAAATTGTAATCTGCAAAAAAAAATAGTAATTGAAGTAGGTCTAGTTTGAAACTTGCATTTATAATACAACAATACGTTTTCAATTTTACTTAGTCCACGTCAGCCGTATGTTTATGTAAATATGTTATTGAAAACATATTAAAGTAAGTTCCACTTGCCGTTTGCAACGCTCATGAGCATTACGTATCTTTGATTACCTTTTGATAAAAAACAAGGATGAAATAATTCCATTTGCAAACAGCAAATGGAACTTACCAATTAAAACATACCGTCCACTAAGTAACAAATAAACGAAATTGTGAAAAATTTTAAACCGTTAGTATGAAGTACAATTCAATTACAGTCGAACTTCGATAACTTGAATTTGAAGAAAAAAGCTAAACTCTTCGAGTTGTAGAAGTTTGGACTTATCGAAGCTCTTGTTTCCTTTCCGCGTAGCGGAAGGGAAGAAACAAAATTTTCGTCTTATAGAAGTTTTCTTATAGAGGTATAGAGGTTCGAGGTATTGAGGTTTGACTGTATTTAAACAAGACCGGCTTAGTGGTCTCGCGGCCTGAGTGCAGAGACTGCGAACCCGGAGGTACCGAGTTCGAATCCGCTCACCACCTAAAAAATTTTTTCTGGGCCGGTCTCCTTCAACCAAGTTTACCGGTTGATCGGCGAACTAATTCCAAACCTCCAAAACTTAATTTGGGTGTAATCCCGAATTACGTTCTTTCTCACAAAGCGATCATAGTCACAAGTTTTCGAGCACGAGCCCGACACAGATATGAGCATGCCCATTGTGAAAGATGCTCGTGTATCGCACGATAGTAGTAAACTGTACAGTATGTAGTTGGTGGTAAATCTGTTAATGAAAGATCGCAGATTTTTAATAAAAAAAGATTTCCTCGCAACTCACCAGCAGGACTCACACAGGCAATCATTAATGTCATAGAATTGCCACCTAAAGAATCTTGTAGCAATCGTGTGAGTTTACTATCTCTATAGCCAATGTAACTCCCAAAAGAGCCATCTCCAAGTTGAGAGATGACATTGCCCAAAGCCAGCAGTCCTTTATTTATATTCACTCCTTCTTTAAAGCGCTCTCCTGTAGCCTGTGTTTTTTTGCTACGCTCTGAACCCGCTAAATCAACTAAATGAAATTTTGCAACTGTTGCTGTATTTCTGTAAAGAAAAAAACCTAGATTATATCTTGATTCTCATAACTTTGACAGATGAAATGAGANATAAAAGAAACACTGCAAATANAACGTTTACTCACGCATCATCTTTCTTTTGCTGCTGTATACATATCGTGAATATTGCGTGACTGCGACTGCTCTGTGCGTTCATAGCGGTTGCTCCAGTTACTCGACCCATGGAGCCTTGCATCAAGCATTCTAATGTCTCTTGAGCGTTTGTTACATCTTTTTCAGTTATTCCGACAANTTTTATATTTTTGCCATCTTCTCTAATCTCTACAACCGATTGATTTCTTTCCTTATTGGATAGAAGATCGTACAATTGTTCCTGGTACAATTCTATGAAAGATGCTGTGACTGTAAAGTTCCAATCTTCCTTCTTGACTTCAATTGTGTCAAATATATCATCTATAATTCTCGGTATAACACCTTTCTCTCCTTCTCCCATATAGTTAGTACCCATTGAATGGGTTTTCCCACTTCCAGTTTGTCCATATGCCAATATTGTAACATTGTAGCCTAAAAAAGAAGTAATTTTTTTTTTTTTTTTAAGAATATACAACTTATTTTTAAAACAAAAATATATACCTTAAGTAATATTTACCTTGAAAAGTATTGTCCAACAATCGTTTAACTGCTATATTATAAAACTCTTCTTGACCAACATCAGGAGAAAAAACGTAATTATATGTGAATGCTTTATCTGAATTGTTAATCCGAACTTGTGGCTCTCCAGGAATCACATCTAAGCAGGTTTGACAGTTTTTTTCAATCTCACTCTGTATTAAAGGTCGTATGCGAAGAGCAACACAAACAGTATCATCTGACATCTGTAATTAGAAAATATATTTATTAATGAAACATAGAAAATTGTTTAGAAAAACAGCACATAGAAAAGTTTTTACATCCAGCAATACAGGATAGACATTTTGGTTTGGATAAAAAATTAATTTTAATTTTGGATATTTATATATTTTACAAGTTTAAAATTACAACTTTCAAACATATTACATGTTTAAAAAACTGATCAGAATGCATGATAATATCCTTAAATTATTGTGACTAACTTCTCACAAACTTTAAAATCAATTTGTTTTTTTTTTTTCAAATTTTTTGTTTTACACAAAACTGCAAAAATGAGCACAGATTGATTCTTTTATCTAAATCTGTGAGATGATGACGCATGTAAATTAAGTAATTACTATATATCAGTATTTAGACAACAAGCCTGTACTATGTACTTCAATATTTAAAAAAAATTGTTTATTATAATCGTTTGTAATCTTATTTCCATATCCAAACATCTCGTGTCTGATCTTGCGAGAAACCTTAGTAAGAAAATATTTTAGAAGAAAATATTTCGTTCCACTTACTTTTGTTAAAACGTGTCACCTAGTTCTCGTGACGTATGTTTATGTATTTTAACTGTCTGTCTATTTAAATCTTTTAGTAACAACCAGCTGTTTAGTTCAATGTAAAACCGACAAAATGAGAATCGCGGACTATCCGTTGATACACCAAAAAAACCGGCTGTTCGCTCGCACGAAAAGACGTTAAACTTGAATACATTTCAAATTTTTGTTTCTAGCGCAGTGTTGTCAATTCCTCTTCATTTGTCGAACGACAACATTTGACGTACACGACGATTGGCTTGTTGGTGGAAAAACTCTAGAATTTTCCATCTGCTAGCAAATCGGCAGACTTGGTTGTTTGAATTCTTCGCACACGCATTGGCTATTCGATGCAGGATTGTCGGCGTCACAAAAAGTCCCTATTCAATATTAACCAATCGGGTACTTCCATTGTTTTTGTACGTCTCACTTTTCTCTATGAGCAAAACCGGCCGAATGGCGCGTGTTGTGTATTATGTCATTTTTCGAAAATTGATCTCGACAGAAATTGTCTTTCTGTCTTTTGTTGCCACATTATAACGCCAATTAAAAAGCAAACGCTGACTGACGAATACGGAACGCCGAAATAAAATAATAACCTACTGGTGATGAAAGAGGCAAGTTGATTTTCAGATTAGCGATATGCAATTGTATACGCGTTGTCAAGTTTTATCTGTCTAGAATTAATGCGAGTTGTTAATGTAAATATTTCTGCAAAGTGTAACAAAATTGTATATATGCAAATAATGTGAATCTAAAACATCTGAATTAATATAATAATAATAGCGATCAAAGAATAAAGTTTACACTTAGCGTTATTTTTTTTATACGTACTCATATAAATAACATACGTTACTATAATTGTATGTAGTATTTAATTTATCGATTGATCAGTCAGTTAATCAAATTTTGAATATAATAATAATTTTGTATATGTAATAGTTCGAAGAAAGTATAAAATATATAAGTAGATAATTTATACTAATAAATAACACATTTGTTTATACTCATACAGCACAGTTCATTGCAACTATATTGTAAATTGCAATGCAACATTACAAAGACATTGTGTGTGTGTGTGTGTGCAAAGATATAAATCCACAAAATATTAACACACTTCTAGCAACATAACATAATAATTTTAGAATCATTGTAAACTCGAAAGTTTGTAATGTGAAATTATAATAATTATGTATCTTAGTAGTCAAATATTATAATAAAATAATTGTTGATAAAATATTTTATTGTATATATAAAAGAAATGTGATAGCAGTTAAGATATTGGCTCGGTATAAAAATTCTAAAAATAAAAACATGTATTTTTAAAGATTTTTAACATATCTACAAGATATTTTCTGTTTTAGGATGAAACATATGAGAAGATATGTGAAGTAAGGAAAACCTTTATATAAACAAACGTTTGCGCAATAATTTTATATCTAAAATATATAATATAAAGCTATACATAAATAATATATATTTTTTAAAATTAAAGTATTGTATTTAATGTTTATATATTATTACAGTAGTTTGTTATTTTTTAAGTGTGTTTTCGACAAGACGATATGTCATTATTTTTATTCGTACAATTTCCGTATATACAGAGGTATTTTGCGGATGTATACATCTTCGCCACTGTTCGATGCTATTTTATGTAGAAATAAGTAGAAAGAAATTTCAAAGCGAGGAAATTTCGTTCTCGAAACAGTAGATAAAATTAAGCATTCTGTTGATCGATGCGTGGTATGTGGATGTTTAACAAACCTTTCCTCGTACGCTATATTTAGTGTCAAAGGTATAAATGCCATACTAATTTCTTTGATCCCTGTAATAGCTACGTGTCACACATGACTGTGAACGGAAACATGTTGCAGTACGGACCGTTATACACGTGTGTGAAATTTGCATTATGCAACACGCATTTGAGGCCTCAAACTCGTCTCTGTTGGAAGAAGCAGGAAGGGAGCGTGGGTAAATTGAAATTAGTCATCTGTGCGAGGTCAGAGACAAAAAGGTTCTTTCGTAAAAAGTATGAATCCGAATTGCAATCATTATTACAATATCGTTGAAAAAGTGTCGTCGTTGACCGGTCAATGGCCCTATCAAAAATCAAGAACAAGACTGCTCGGTCTGTGCCTGGTGACTTTGAGCACTTTCTCTATGATCGTGCCACAGGTATCGGAGAGAGATCATTTTCCTGAGATAAAACTCTCTCTGAAATAGAAGAAATTTTTGCAACCTCGTTTTCAGATGGCCAAGTTAGTCAAGTGTGACGGAAATTTAGAGTGCATTTTTCAAACTCTGACAGCGTATCTGTTGACGATTGTGACTTTGGTAAAACTGTACACATGCTACTTTAATCGATGCAAAGTAAGTTGTTTGTGTTTCACGGCGAGAATATTTCAACCCTTCGTCCGTAGACTAGATGACTTCCAGATCCACTCAAATTGTTCATCTACAATTGTGGATTCTAGAAAAAATAAGTTTTTTTTAAATGTTTATATTTTTGAAACTACTGAAGATTTTTTCGCAAAATCGTTCAAACTTTCGATTAAAAAGTGAACAAATATTGATTTTTCGCGAAGATATTTGATCTTAAAGTCGCGTGGGCCTCACAGACAGTCTACAGTTCTCGTAGGTTTTTTTTAGGTCTACAGTCGAAAAATTAAATTAGCAGAATTTCTTTGTATATACATACACATGCTGAGAGAGAGAGAGAGAGAGAGAGGGAGAGAGAGAGAAAGTGATACATTTATTAGATTAAGAACAAAAAAAAAGATTATTAATTGATGCAGTACTCCTAGATGAAAACGCTCGTTGATCAGTTGTTCGTCGAATGGGACGAACTGAAGACTCCGGAAGAATACGAAATTATGAGGAGATACGCTGAGAACGGCAGGAGATACTCTTTGGGATACTCGTGTGAGAGAGAAAACAAAGTATTAGATTTCCGCGGTTTTTGTTTGTTTGTTTTTTTTTTTTTTTACGATTGTTTTGCTTTTATCTCTATTCGTCTTGTTTACTCGACCGTAACAATAAGTAGTCTTGAACGATGCTATATCTGTGTGTTGCAGTATATATCTTCACATCCACATATCTGTTCATGTGCGTGTCCCTCATACCTCAACTGTTGGACGTTGTAATGCCCCTCAACGAGTCCCGTCCTATACTTCCCGCTCATCCAGGACATTACTTCGTCGACGAGAGGAAATACTTCTATTATATTTTCTCGCACGCCATTGTAGCCTGGGAAATCGCCGTGACCGGTATAGTTGCCCACGACTGCATGCTTCTAACTTTTGTTGAATATATTTGTAGTATCTTCACTCTAGTCGGGTAAGAACAAACATTTAATACGTACAATATACGGGTGTTAATCAAGTTGTTTGTCAAAGTGTACCATATGTTCGCAGAGTTCGACTTGAACGACTGACGTCCAAACACGCTGATGCTGCGAATAAATCTTTGCATTCTCGTAAAATTGACACGTATCACAATCAAATTGCGTTCTCAGTACATACGCATCAGAAAGCTTTGAGGTAAATAAAAATAAGCATTTGGAGAGCTAATACAACGCTATTGCTTTTATATGTTTTGCTTTTGGAAAAAGATACGCTCAACTTCTTGAGGATACGTTTTCGACGACGTTGGCTGTACAAGTAGCGCTGAATACAGTAATGATCAGCATTACGTTGTTACAAGTATGTATTTTATTAAGAAGATATTCTCTCTAGACACGAGCAAAAATATTTTTTGCATCAGACGCATAAAATCACAGTTTTGTAAATTATATATTTTAGTTAAGAAAAACTTATAAAATTACAAAAAAAATGTTATTTCCTACTTTATAGATTACGCAAGAAAATTCCGATATTTTTATAGCAACAAGATACGTAGTGTACGTGGCTGCTCAATTGATTCACTTGTTCTATCTCAGTTTTGAAGGACAGAAGCTGATAGATCACAGTCTTCAAACGCGCAATAAAATGTGAGACGATAGATTTCATATGATATATTGATCATATAAATTTCTTTTTTTTGTTTTTAAATAGCATTACTGCAATATTGCAGCTATAATAGTTCGTGGTACGAAATACCTCCAAAGTCGCAGAGGATGCTTCTTTTTGTGATGCAGAAAACTCTTCAACCTGTTTTTCTGACCGCCGGCAAAGTGTACATTTTCTCACTGGAGAGTTTCACTACGGTAAATATACAATTATATCATAAATACTGTACTGTTATCTATATATCGTACTAAAATTGTCTCTTACTAATATACGTTCGTTTTTTAAAGATCCTACAAACTTCAATGTCGTATTTTACGGTGCTCTCGTCTTTAGAATGATCGAACACAAGTATGTTTGCATCCAATCGTGAAATTATTTAATTCTTACTACAATATGTGTGAGACAAAAGTTTATTACCAATGTGCGAGCAATTCGTGTATGTTGCAATAGCAAATTGTTCGTCTCCATGTTGAAGTATACGTTAATCTTGAAATATAAAATAACACTTTAAGAATATTTTTAAAGTGATTTTTCATACGCATGATATGAAGGAGAGAAGACACTTAGAACATAAAAATATATGAAAACAACGCGATTATTACGAACTTGGTTTCTTAATTCCAACACACTTGAAATATTGTTACGCTAATTTTCGTTGCTCGAGTGAAGAAGGCGTCTTCCAGGAACGCCGGGTAAAATATTGATTCTATCGACCCTCGCGGGGAATATAAAAACACAACCTGTCGGCTCCATTTAGCATCTGTCTACCTTGTATTTAGCATCAAAGACAAAACTAAATTCTGGTGTACTCATGTAAATGCTACTTATATCCCTGTAAGAGCTATGTGTCACTTATATTGACGGGCGACAGCATGCTGCAATTATGCAAAAACAGACATGTAGTATTTATTCGGGACGTACGGTCCGATATGTTTGAATATAATATTTTCGAGAAAATCTTTCTTTGCCGCTTGTATTTGCAAAATAAAATAATATCTACTAGTCTGTTGTACGATGTCAACAACGGAAGACCGTTTCTAAACTATGGATTCCACTTGGAGTCATTATTACAATGTTGTTAAGAAAATATCGTCATTGGCCGGTCAGTGGCCCTATCAAAACCGGAACATGAAGCTATTCTGCGTGAGCTTAATAACTTTGAGTACATTTACTTTAAATGGTCCACAGGTAATTTATTATTTTTTTTTTTTTTATTGCTTTTCTCACACACACACACACACATATATATATATATATGTTTACTATAAATGACAATATTTTTAGATTGCCAAGTTCATAAAATGTAACGGAAACATGCAATGTATTTTCGAAACTATGACATCAATTATGTTGGCGACTATAAGTTTGGTGAAGCTATATACGTGCTATTTTAATCGCTACAATGTATTGCCGCATATTCTCAATCTAGTGAATTAAAAAACTCTGAAAGCATTTGCTTTCTTTTGGCTTGGCTAATTTTAAATAATTATCTCGTATATTTCTCTGCTGTTTTTAATGTTCGGAGTGTTTAGAAGATATCTTTTACTTTAGACTTCCACTATACTTATGTCGCTATAACGTAACATGTGTTAGTGATCAATTAATTTTTAGATGAAAATACTTGCTGATCATTTGTTTGTCGATTGGAACACTTTAGAATGCGCGGAGGAATATAAAATTATGGAGAAGTATGCTGAGAGCAGCAGGCGATATTCGTTGGGATATTCGTGTAAGATTAAATAAATAATTTATTTGTTTTGTTTGCGAAAGTAAAATTTACGATTATATCGTGTCTTTGTCTGTACAGTGTACTGTCTTACAGCCACATATCTCTTTATGTCTATATCTTTCATACCGCAACTGTTGGATTTTATATTGCCCCTCAATGAATCGCGTCCGATACTAATGACATATCCAGGATACTACTTCGTCGACGAAGAAAGATATTTTGTTTATATTTTTTCCCATTCTATCGTGTCGTGGGAAATAGCTATGACCGCGTTAATTGCTCATGATTGCATGTTTATGACTTACGTTGAACATGTTTGCAGCTTGTTTGCCGTGGTCGGGTAAAAAGATTACTTTTTTATAAACAGGACACGAGTCGAAATTAACATATGTTTAAATACGATCTATTTATAGATTTCGTTTCGAAAATTTAATGTGCAGTAGTAGTGAAAAAGAAAAGCTTGTAAATGCTGATTTAGATGTCATCTATAAGAAAAAAATTGCGGTTATTGTACATACACATCGAAAAGCTGTAAAGTAATTATATAGAAAATAAAATAAATATATAAGAGTTAAATAATCAAGTAAAATAATAATTTATCTCTAAATAGAATACTCTGTAGTTTTTTATGTAATTAAAATTTATATGTCATTTTATTATTTGTTATAGATACGTAAAACTTCTTGAAAGCACTTTTACCATACCTTTTGCTATACAAATATTGATAGTAGTAATAACAATGAGTGTTACTTTGTTACAGGTACGTGTTTATTTGATAATAAATTTATATTTCTTTCTCTTTCTTTCTTTTTGTGTATGTGAAGAATTAAAATGTGTATCTTTTTTAAAAATGTACTGCTGCAGATCGCGCAACACAATGATGACAGCAATATTCTAGAATTAATAAGGTATGTGTTGTATGTTATTGGCGAGTTGATCCACTTGTTTGTTCTTAGTTTCGAAGGACAAAAGATAATAGATCATGGTATTGAAATACGTAACAAAATGTAAGGGATCTCTCTTAACGTATATCGATCAATTTTCCATTGATTGATTAATATATCGCAAATTTTTTTCGTATTCTTTCTTTTTTTGAAACATTACAGATACAACAGTTCCTGGTATAAAGTATCCAAAAAGTCTCAAGAGCTACTTATATTAGTGATGATGAGAACTCTTCAATTGAGTTTCTTAACTGCCGGAAAAATGTATATTTTCTCTCTGGAGAGCTTTATGGCGGTAAGTATAAGAATTATTGTATAAGGATGAACGTCTTTTATGAGGTTTTTTTGTTCTCGTAGGTTTTACAGGCTTCGATGTCATATTGTACAGTACTTGCAAACTTTCAATAGTGTTATTTCTATATATTCCAATCATACATGCGATACCAAATATTATATATATTTATATATACATCATACGGCGTCATATAGAAAGCGATATGTTCTTATTATTTTTGTGTTACAATTATATATTTTGCAAATGGAAAAGTTTTATCGTCAAAAAATGAGCCAAATAAAACGTTATATTAATATGTCATATATGTGTAAAAGAATTTTTAAAAGTCTCTTTTTTAAAACTTTGCCTATTGATAACGCAGGTTTGTCCGTTTCTACTTTATAATTAATCCGGCAATTGTAAACGATATATATTGTCGCGTTCCCGCAGCGATATATATTATAGCGTAAGAGAAATAAAATTCAGAACAGTTTCAATTTAGATATAAGAAAAAACTTACAATTGTAAAATGTTTTTCTGTAGCTTGTAGTTTTTTTATAGGCAGAAAAATTTTGATATGCTTGTCACCAAAAATACGTAATGTCGTTACTAATTGTGTTATTCGAATGAAGAAGTCTTCTAGGAAAACGCCGAATGATAATATTGATTTTATCGATCCTCGCGAGAATGTAAAAAACAACCTGTCACAGCTGCATTTAGCATTTGTCTGCGTTGTATTTAGTCGAAGATAAAACTAAATGTTTGGTATACCCGCATAAAAGCTACTTATATCCGTGTAGGCTATAATAAAGGTACCTTTACTATACCTTTTGCTATACAAATAGTGATAATAGTAATAACAATGAGCGTTACTTTGCTACAGATATGTTTGTTTCTGATAGAAAATTTTTGCTTTCTCTCTTTCTCTGTGTACATAAAGAATTAAAATATGTATTTTTCAAAAGTATAAATATATTGCTGCAGATTGTACAACACAATGATAACAGCAATATTTTAAAACTAGTAAGATATGTGGTGTATATTATTGGCGAGCTGATCCACTTGTTTCTCCTCAGTTTTGAAGAACAAAAGATAATAAAGATCATGCTATTGAGATGCGTAACAAAATGTAAGGGATCGCTCTTAATGCATTTCTGAGAGAGAAAATTCGATAATTTCTTTATACAGTGACTAATATATCGTATATTTTTCCGAAACGATACAGATACAACAGTTCCTGGTATAAAGTATTCAAAAGATCTCAAGAGCTGCTTATAATGATGCTGATGAAGACTCTTCAATTAAGCTTTTTAACCGACGGAAAAGTGTACATTTTCTCTCTAGAAATACATCAAGTATGAACTTTATGACAGTAAGTATAAAAATTATCATGAACGGAAAACTCCTTTTATAGAGTTTTATTTTTGTAGGTTTTACAGGCTTCGATGTTGTATTGTACAGTACTTGCAAATTTTCAGTAACGTTATATGTACGCCAATCACACACGATGCCAATTATATATATTTACATATAATATATATATATATATATATATATATATATATATATAATATGTATATGTATCATGAGGCGTCATGTAGAAATCAATATACGTATATCATTAGTATTTTTGTGTGTTACAACAATATATTGCAAATAGTTTTATCGTCAAATGAGTTAAATAAAACGTTAGATGAATACATTCTAAGTGAAAAAACCTTTAAAATTCTCTTTTAAACACTCGCCTATCAATAACACGGTTTTGTCTTTCTCTATCTTATTAGTCTAGCAAGTATAAATGTTACCGATATATTTCCATAACAACTATAGTGTCATTTGATGACATACGCTGCAATTACTTCACACAATAATAGTGTGTTTGCAACTTTATACCTATGATACATATTTCTACCGCACGCAGGTTCTGAGGGTGCCCATATGACACCGATATTACCGCATTATTATTATTATGAATCATAAATTACAACTGCGTCAAGTAAAAGATGTTTTTCATATGAAAAAGTAAATTTACACAATATTCTATAAACGGAAAACAATAAGAATGTGGAAAAATTCAATTCTTTAATATTGAGAATTCATTTTATTTAAGATCATTCAAATAATCGTTTATTCGATGTCAATTTCTATTACATTATGAGGCTAGAATATATACGTAGAAAAAAGTCAACGACTTTTCCAGAGAAGACTCCCTCACCTCTACAATAAACGTTACTCTTCTACACTATATGCACACACAAAAACAAACATCAGAGTTACAAAATTCTGTTTTTATATATCATTCTAACATTATTCTCATCGCTATTTATATATGACTAATATAAATTTTGGAGCTGTCTTCTAGGCAAAATAGAATTTTGATTATGGATTATTATTTTATTACTATGTACAATTTTTAATGTTATAATAAATTCGTTGGTCTTTTAAATCTGTTTCTATGAAAGTATATGTATATATATAATAATGATACTATTATTTATTGTTACCACAATGCTATGAACTTACACTGTTCTATCAGGTAAAAAAAATATCTATGTGTAGTATTTTATCAATTTCCTTCAGTATGACAAGAAAATTGCAAATTGGATTAGATACAAATTGGCTGCGTTATGATAGTCACTGCCAGTAATGGAAATCTATATCACACGCGACGTAAAGTACAGATTTTTTTATACTGGCAGTGAGCATCGGAACGCAGTTATTATTTTTCGAGGCCAAATTATACAAATACATACGTATGTACTATAATTACATAATAAAAATAAAACAGTTAATAGACATTAATGAAAAAAAACAATGATAAAGAAATTATTTAACACGTTCACTGCCACACATAAATCTGGCGCAACGTGTCAAGCGGCCATTTACGATTTCAACACACAATGATCGAACAATTCGACAATATAAATTACATATGATAATGCGTGCCATTAAATAACCATCGAAATGGAATAGAACAGCAAGTCAAATTACATTACAAGTTATGTCAAAGTAGCATGTGTACTATGCCGGCTGTTCGGCGTCCGGTAAGTCTAGAATCTCTCCCACGAATTCTGCCACATTCGTGTCCTTCTGAGCGTGTTCCGTAATGAAGTTGAGTTTCAGCAATTGACTATAGTTTGGACGGGCAGTGTAATCCTTCATTAGACTGAAAAAACGGGACGCGCACACATGAGATTTTTGTGAGTGAGTAACAATAAGACAATCTTGTTACAGGAGCACCGTATTTACCATTTATTGATAAATTCCTCGAACGAGGATGAAAATTTTCCAGCAGGCAGCTTCGGAGCTTCGTCCTTTACCACCTGTTTCAGTTGTTCGAACGGAGTGCCCCAAGACTCGTATGGAAATTTCCCCGTGGCTAATTCAACAAGGGAAATTCCTAACGACCAGACGTCAGATCTGATGTCATACTGTGACGGGTTACCCGACGGGTCTATCCTTTCTGGCTACAAAAAGGATAATGGTGAAGAAGAAGGTATATTGACGAGACGTGCGCAGATATAAATCTTCAACGTCAACAAAATCCTACGACTACGTACAGCCATGTATGGTTTGCATCCTGCGTCAATGGTTTTAGCAACGGAGTCTACGAGGTAACCAGATATACCAAAATCGCATATTTTTACTTCACCTTTCCGGTTAATTAAAATATTGCTAGGCTTAACATCTCTGTGAATCACCCGTAATTGTGAATAGAGGTAATCCAATGCACTTACTACCTGCAAATTATTGTTACAATAAAGTACATGTATTTCTTATGTTATTTAAGACATAATATTGCATATATAATTGACGGAATAACATGAAAAAAAACCATGTTGTTCCTAATTTGATATTTATAAAAGTAAGATCAAAGCATATATGAGTACCGCAAATGCCACTTTTCCTAAGATATCTTCAGGAATGGCACGACCGTGTTTATATACTTTTGTATAAAACTTATCAAGGCTCATATCCATTACTTCCATGCATATCCACACATCTCCTTCTCGAAACAAGGCTCCATAAAATTGTACTGTGTAGGGACATGCTGAGCTACGCATGGAAATATCTAAATCCATAAGTAATCTCTTCTGCTCTTGTGTATTAACAGTTGCAGTTATTCTCTATAAAAAAAAAATATTAAACATGTTCTTTTAGAAACAATCGTGTTATTTTACAAAACATACAAGATCTCATTTCATCAAATTACCTTTACTGCCATAATTGTACCACTTTGTTTATGCCGCACTTTATCAACAATCCCATATGCTCCACGTCCAAGAACACACAGTGTTTCTAAGTCATCGGCCTCCACAACAAATGTCTTGTCGTCTATTGTAATGGTAGTTCGTTTGTCTAGATTCCTCGGGGGTGTCCTAGAAAAATTTCCAAAATATAAACAGAAGCAATATATATGACTGTTGAAACTGATAAACAAAAATTGTTTTACGCAAATGATAATGATTCTTTTTGAACATATACCATTTTATATCAGTTTTTCCAATTCTCAAAAGCAAGTATATAATAGACAGATATATACATAGAGAATTATGTTTGAACGTAGCACCACACATTGCAACATTGTCACAGTATCCAACAAAAGCGTTATCACTGTTTTACATACACTGGTACAGGTGCTTCCTCGGAGACCTGTAATTTCAGGTTGCGTTTTCCACGACGTAAAGCCATGGTGCCGAGCTGCGATCAGTCAGAAGCAGCTTTGCCCGTGCCAAATCCAGTACTGTGTTTCCAAGACAGTCAAAAAACGTAATTCATGGCCTGCGACGAGGTAGAACGTAAAGCGTTCTGAAAGAACAAACGGTAAATTTGACGGTTTGCACTTTAGAACGGACGAACGTCCGCGCCGATGTTTAGGTTTAGGTTAATCACAGCAAAGTGATATGTGTGCGAAACGTCTCTCTTGTTCGCGTCGCGCGAACAAATTGCGTATACATTAGCGTCACTTACTCTGTGAAAAACATCACGCTACCTCAACGAAATCGTTGTGAGAGAAACCTTCGTGTCTTTGTCGTCCTCCGTTGCCCATATATGAAGTTTTTAGCAAACTCAAACTACACCGCGTGAAGTTAGTCGCGCGAAAATACCGCAGGATAGCAGCAAGCAATCGTGCAATTTTCCTGCTAGGGATGGGAAAAGTCAAAATGGCAAACACTGTAAACACTAGGCCAATCATAGACATTTGTAATACACCACCAGAAGGCTCTGCTTGGTTACTGGCAGAACTGAAAATCTATAGATTCACGTCACGTATACTATAGATTGTTCAGTACTGCCAATAATAATCGAACAGGGCCTGGACTGTGCCTTTGACTCGCTACAAGCGGAATGACAGGTATCTTGATTTCAGCGTCTGCCAATTCAAACGCTTAATAAACAAATAATTTTATTTGCATAACGAAGAAGATGACGTTCTCGCCGAAAGATTTGGGAAAGCTGTTGGATTTACTTGAGGAGGAAAATTTGGACACCAGCCTGGAGAGTCTTTGTAACCAGTTACATCAAACATTTTCCAAAAAGGATCGCTTTAACGTGGGAACAACGTTGTTGTTGCATCTTCAGCATATTGACCTGCTCCCGAAACATGTTCAAGTTCAACGTGTTATTGCCTTAACGATGTTGTACGACTTGTACAGAGGCGAACCCTTAGCTTCCACACCTTTTGCCAGTGTGTTTGTACAAGTGCTGAAACCCCAGGAAGATGCTAATAACGGCAATCCGAAACCACCTGGTCACACAGGTCATATACCGGTTCTGTCTCATTGTGAGAAGAATCTGCTGATTAATTTGTTAGGATACAATCAGAAGGATATTATGAAAAAAACACCTCGTCAAATTGTGGACGAGTTATCGTATTCTCCTATACCGTCCATCGATTTAACAAATCTGCAGTTGCAGTTGGCTGAACATCAGTCCGAACTTCCCGCTATTAGCAAATGTGGAAATCCCATAATTCTGCCTGATGCCGATCTCACAAAAGTTAACGAATTTGACAAGACTTGTGTTAGAAATCTAACAGAAAATCTTATCACCGGTGATCCACCTTTATCCAGACAGAGCTATCGTCCTGAATTTTTGAGACTGGTACCGCCGCTCTATCACTCCGCGAACGAAATAGCCTGGTTCAATGTCACGGAACCGACGCAATTCACGATCGAGTACGACACCAGTATGTGCGTGTCAAATTGCGCTGGTGCGGAAGCTCGCAAGCTAATGGGAAAGGCTTTCAAGAGTGTTCTAACGTTACAGCAACAACAACACCTGGTCAACGAATTGGAAAAAGATCCCAAGCTTGTTTATCATATTGGACTCACACCTAGCAAACTACCAGACTTGGTTGAGAACAATCCTCTCATTGCTATTGAAGTTTTGTTGAAGCTAATGCAATCTAGCCAAATCACTGAGTACTTCAGCGTACTAGTGAACATGGAGATGTCCCTTCACTCCATGGAGGTCGTGAACAGACTCACGACTACAGTGGATCTGCCGACGGAATTTGTACATCTGTATATCAGCAATTGCATATCCACTTGCGAGACCATTAAAGATCGTTATATGCAGAATCGCTTGGTGCGGCTTGTTTGCGTGTTTCTGCAGTCTTTGATAAGGAACAAGATCATAAATGTTCAAGAACTGTTTATCGAAGTCCAAGCGTTCTGTATCGAATTCAGTCGCATCAGAGAAGCGGCCGCGTTATTTCGGCTTTTGAAGCAACTCGAATCTGGCGATACGGGTGGACTTAATGCTCCGCCGACAAAAAATAAAATAGATATGTGTTAATATCGAGCTTATGCAAATAGAACGTTTTATTATTCGTAAAAATTCGCAAAGGACAATTGATCATTTCAGTTCCAGATTTGTACTTTATGTAGTTACTTGAAAACAACAACTTGTGAGAGAAAATGTTTATATCGCTTATTGAGCTCTTTTTTGATTATACGTAAAGAATATTATGCTGAAACACTACACATCAACGTGTCTGAAAAAAAAAAAAAAAAATTGAAGTTTATTCTAAAAAATATATATGTATATACGATTTTTAATGTGCTTATAAGCAGATTAAAGTTTGCAATGTGTATTGCAACATGAGAAATGATACATTTGGATTAAAATGTGTGTGTTTCAAGTTATTTAGAGTTTTATACATATTTTCTATATATGTTAATAAAATGTGAGCTCTATAAAACACTCCATTGTGTAATAAACAAATAAGCGTCTATGTAATGGATTGTATAAATTATACAATTAAATTACACAATTTTTATGCTTTTGTACTTATTGTAACTTCATACACATTTCAAAGTACAAAAGAAATCAATCACATAGTAACAAATATTATGTAACGTTTAATTTTGGTTTATATTCTACAAATCTTTATTAATGTATGTATTTTACAATGTATGTATATAT